CAACAGTATCATACAAACTGTTATGGCTCTTTTCTTCTCTTGTCACACAATAAATAAATAAAAAACATCATCTGTCAGATCTAAGTGGCATTCACTAAGCAATTCCTGCTAATTTAGAAAAATACAACAATTAATCTGACCTTCGTACTACAAAACATATTTCTGTTAAGACTTCATGCAAAATGTTCAGCCATTGGTCGTCTCAACCTCACTATAAAATATGTTCAACATTTAACATTTAATAATATTTCTGTGTATTTTCTTCTATTTGCACTAGTTCCAACATTTGGAATGTGTATTATTTCACAAACACAAATCATATTTGAAATTTTAACTCCTTTTCAGACTTTAGAAAAATTAACCTTTTTTAAAATCAATTTTTTAAACGGAAATATTTATTGGCTGATGTTAATTTAACAACTATATGATAATCCGATTTATTTAATTATGTAATTATAAAATAAAACAGTAATAAATAAACCAAATTACATTTCCACCATTAAATCGTCCACCAGAGGGCAGTACACATGCTAGGACTCAATATGGCAGGTTTTGGATGAAGGTACTAATCTTGATACTCCCTAAAACATCACACCACAAAAGCAGATTCTTGTCCGCTTCCATAAGACTCCTGACCAACCAATAACCTTTAGACCGCATAGGTGTGCACCAGTCACCTAAACTCCAATGCTTATGATTGGTTGATTTTCTTGCTTTGTTTCCTGTTGATTATTTTTGATGTATCCTAATCTATATACTGCCTGACTTGTATAAATGTTTGCACCTTGCCACCGAAACAAATCCATAGAAGATGAGTCTCTCACCTACATGATTCTGATTCTCATGTGAAATATTGCAAAAGGGATCTAAGAACATATTGATATGGCAATATATTACAATATTTTTTCCTGCAATTTTATATCAAATATTTAGAAGAATTTACATGCAACCTTCTGTGTGTTTTATTTTATTTTCTTGCAATCCTAACACCGACCGCTAGTTGGCAGCAGTGTGCAACGGGTTTTGTTTCCACCACTGAAATGTAAATCCCTCCATTATGGTTCAGATACCTCATGTTAAACATGTTACGTATCAGTTTGGGCTGCTTATTGAATTTTCCCACAATAATTTCAGTTAAAAAATTGCTAATATCTTCTTCCTAAAGGTTTCTCATAATATTGTAAAATATTGCACCGTCTCCCCTGTATCGTGGTACGTATCGTATCGCCAGAATTTCACCAATACACATCCCTATATCGCAACATGTCCAGCTTTTTTTTGTTTCCAGCTCTGTTTGCTAACATCTCAGTCAAAAGTCCCACTCTCCACTGAACGCTAAATAAAACACAGTTTACTGAATTCTGCACCCTAGGAGGCTACGTCCTCTCAGCAGACACTCATGCATTATCTATATGAGTCTGTGATGAAGCGTGCACCTTTAAAGTACATAAACACATGCACAACTGAGTCTATACTCCCGAATGCTAATTGCCCTCATGACTCAGTTTGGGTTAAGTGCAGAATGAAGTCACTTCCTATTGAGTGTGTGTGTGTGTGTGTGTGTGTGTGTGTGTGTGTGTGTTCGTGCGTGCATCACTGAACGTTCCACGGGGAGAAAGTTGGCCTCAGGCTGCGTTACTCATGGCCTGTTTTGACACATGCGTGTGCACAGACTCAAATAAACACAGACGGGATCCTATGCACATGTCGACATAAATGCATCTGCACATGAAAAATAAAACAAACACCTGAAGACAGATGATCCCCCGCTTGGTCGCCACACTGTTATTTAGGTTGTTGGATAGGATCATGAAGCTGATATGTAACAACACAAGGAGGGCACCATTTCCATCTCATCCTAAAATAACACAAGAAGTCAAAAGGTGTTTGGATCATAACCTCTTGCCACAAAGCAACATCCATAATAAAGGGAGACTTGGCAGTTTGGGCTTGCTTTTAGCACCACCTAGTGTTCATTTAGTGAAATCATATTCTTGCTGTGCCTTCCTCTTTTTAACACCTTAATCTAAGAGCTGAAATGGCTCCCCAGCCTTCCTTAGTGTCTACAGGAGTGATTCGTCACAAAATCCAACACATCAGCTGTGTTCATGATCTAAAACATGGAAGCAGACTCCGGCGCTGGTATGCCAGCTCCACTTTACTAAACCCAACAGTTAGCGGCCCACCACTCTGGAGTTGCAAAGCTGGTCTTCTGGCAGAGGGGGTTGTGGGGGGTCTGAGGGACATTTCATTAACCCTGTAAAGGGACATTTTAGCACATACTGGCTCAAGAAAATGATAAAAAAATTCTGAAAAAGTTACCTTTAATGCAGCAGACTCTGTAATATATGTGTTCAATATAAATAAAATACTGTTTTAGAAGGGCTAGAGGATGCTGTGATTGGATCTTTAGTTTTATAGGTTTCACTTCACAAATACATCTTACTGTCAGGTGAGCAGGGTGTGTCTGATGATTCTTGGCAACATCTTTAATTAAAAAGCCAACAAAACTATTTCAAAACACTTTTTAGGCAGATATTGGAGTTTTTGTTTGTTGCAGGGCGAGTGTAATGGCGTGAGATTTGTTCAAGAGCAGAAATTTCAAACCTAAGAACAAAATCTGGCATTGTGTTGTGTCACCACACAGAGAACAGAACAGCTGCAGAGACACAAATGCTAAAACCAGCAGAGAAAAAAGCTTCTTTTGTTTTCTCGCTCCGGAGGAACCCAAAATGTTCTTTCAGTAAAAGATGCAACAATTCCATAATTGAGGGCTGATGGTAGGGCTTTAGTGCCGCTCTGACCTGCTGATACAGATTTAACCAATTATGATTTGAACCAACGAATGAATGAATACTTTTTACTTATTTATTAACAAGTAATTCCTGATCAGCTAAAAAACAGTGCTCCTGTGAGTGGAAACTCCCACAAAAGAGATCTGTTACTATCACCATAAATTAGCATTTAGCTATGGTTCAACTACATACTGGGAAATATTTTATAGCTGCTTTATTTTGGCGCATTCATAAACAAAACAAAAATCATTTTTGAGTTTTGAATTTGAGGATTGATGATTGAGGCAATCACGCTGAATATTGGTCAATCCTAGGAAACGATTTGGTGCATCTGGTCAGTTAAGAGAATAAAGATGAAAGAACAGCAAAAACTAAATGTTTACTGGTGCTGGTGAATGCTAGAAAATAATTAAAAACAAGAAAACATGGAGGAGATGTTTAAACGTGACTGCACCATGCTCTTTTATGGCCTCTGTTCATCGTATTATCACTTTATTATGGGGCACTTTGAAAGCCCACAGCTGATTAATCTGATCATATGTTTTTCCAGTAAAAGTCAGACTCTCCCCGTCAATAAACCATCTGTTGCTTTTATCCCACAACATATTTTCATTTAAAGTGATAGCTCTGATCTTCTAAGAAGCTTTCTGAGATATCTGCAACAGATAAGATGCTACTTGTTCATGTCTTCCCCACAGAAGCCCAACTTAAGATCTGAAATATCACTTAAATCGTTTCAGACTGACATTTTCCTAAACATATTCTCGTATTTAGTCTCCTTCAGTGTTAACAGGTCTTCAGAGCAACTTTTAACCCCTTAGATGGGCTTTAGTGGGTGGGGGTGATGTTTGTAGAGGGCTAGCAGATTTTTAATAGATGTAATAATCCAAACAGAGACAGAATCCATTTCAAATAAAGACAACCTTCTTAAACATGATGTCCCTTTACAGAACAGAGTCAACAAAGCCTGTCCGGTGGCCCAATAAGAGTTTGAACTATGATACCGGTTCTCTCCGGGTACTCCGGCTTCCTCCCACAGTCCAAAAACATGACTGTTAGGTTGATTGGTCTGTCTAAATTGTCCTTAGGTGTGAGTGTGTGTGTGCATGGTTGTTTGTCCTGTGTGTCTCTGTGTTGCCCTGCGATGGACTGACTCTCTGTCCAGGGTGTTCCCCGCCTGATTGCCCGTTGACCGCTGGAGATAGGCACCTGTGGAGGTCTCGGAGACCTCTGTGTTCCACCCGGTTTTACCCAGCGGTCAACCCGGCGTATCTCTGACTCAGAAGCTCTGGTGTTGTGCACAGTTAACTCCGGTTGTATCTAGGTTGCTACCTCTGTTAGCTTAGCTCCCACCTCCACGTTAGCTTTGGGTTAGCTTCAGGTTAGCTTGTAGCTAGTTCGACTGGGTCTCGTCAGTCGATCCCAGCCTTACAGCCCCACCCTCAGCTCCTCCTCTCTTCCCTTTTATGGAATTGTTTGGGCTTGACGGAACCTGTGACACGGTCAAAATGGCGGTGGTGGTCACCTCCCATTTTAGCAGAAAAACTTGTTATTGGAGGCTATGGAAACCCATTGTCCATATATTTATGTTGATGTCTGTCCCAGACATAAACTCACCCCAAAGGCATGCTGCTGCTTGTCCACCCTGACTGGACAGCCCTAAGACTGACGGCTGACACATTATTAGCCTCAATAAGAAACAGATCGAGGGGGCGTGGTCGGACACCTGTCAATCACTTAAGACACTAAAGACATATTAAATCAAATGGGGCTGTAATAAACTGCTTTATTAAACGTTTTTGTTTATTAGGTATTTGAACATTTTTTATTGTAAACAGAGAGGGCTTGCTAGCCATACTGGTGTGCATATGACACCATAGCTAAAGGGACAAAGAGAAGGAATCATTACTGTGTAAAAAGCTTCTGCAGCTCTTTAAGAGGTGAGATTGTGTTGGAGGTCATGGTGATATAGGATTGCGTTTACAGGGTCTTTAAAATAAAACACAATTTATAGTTTGACTCAAATACCCACACATGCACCCCCAAGAGGGAAATCTACTTGTCAAACCAAAAGCTAATAGATGATGTTTCTCTCCACTTCAGAGGTGCGATCACAGACTGCCGAGGCTGATAAGTGACACTGATTAGGCAAATCAAACTGGAAATGCAAAAATGAGACCAATAAAACAGACCCAATGAAATTACCTCCACGTATGGCACCACCTTGCAGGTGAATTCTCCCAACAGCCAGGACTTTGTCAGCTCATGGAAAACCACCATGGGAAGGCAGAAGAGGATGAGCGCAAAGTCCCAGACAGCCAAATTGGCCAGTAGGGAGTTGGAGATGCTCTTCATGTAGTAGTTCTGGCACACGATGCACAGGATGGCAATGTTGCCCGCGATGCCGACCAGGAAGATGACGCCGGAGACGCCCGTGATCGCGTACGCGCCGAAAGTTTCACTCGTCACCGGGTAGAAAGGGTTCTTGATCTCGTCCCCAAAATCCTGGGAGCCGGGAGGGGTGATTGGTGTGGCGTCCCAGGGGTTCTCCTCTCTGAATGTGAAGAACTCAGACTTCCTGGTAAAAAGGTCGAAGGGGAGGTCGGTGGAGGTGAGGGCCACCGGTTTGGGGATGGGTTCCCACGGCGACGCGTGAGGCTGCACCACTACCCCGGAGCTTTTGTTCTGCCGGTTTCTCCCCCTCTTCCCCGCTTTCTTCTGTCCGTCCTTTGTGCCTCTTATGTACTTATCACCCTCCTCTGGACCCGCTTCATCTATTGAAGAAGGCTTAGCTGCATTGTAGTGTCCACCTGCCGGCGTCCCCGTACTACTGAGCAACTTTATCCTCCTATTATGGCGGCGCGTCGCGTCCCAGTGCGAGACGCCGCTGATATCCTCCAAGGGTGTCACGGTCCTATTCAAGTCGCGTTTGTTGTGCCCGATTCGCCTAATTTCCCCCCCAATTACCCTCCGCGAGGGGTGAGTGGAGTTGAGGGTCCCTCTGATGATCGGCCGCGGCGCCTGCAGCTCCGCTGAGGACGCACCTGTGGCGTTGCCCGCCGGGAGCGCACGGTCCCGGGCTTTGCTTTGGTGACTCTCCCGGGGCAGCTCGTGAAAAGTCCCACTGGAGGACGCGGTGCTGCTTCTGCTCTCCTTACTTTCATCGTTTCTAAGGGATAAAAGCACGTGTGTGTGGGCCAGTAACACAACCAGCGTCCCAGGCTGCATAATCTGCATGATCCAGAGATTATGGCGCGGCTCAAGTCCTCACGGGTGCATCATCAGACCTTCATGGTAGCCGGGAGATCTTCCTCACACCCGTGTTGGAAACAACACCATACATGTCTGGATCCGTGCTGCATTTGCGACATGAGCTCCACAAACTTGTAAAATCCCAGTCAGTTGTGCATGCTTGCGCGGTGCCGCTGCGATATCCCCAAAGCGCAGCTCCAAGTCTTTACATCACCGAGCAGAGCAGTGAACCGAAACCCGGATCAGAGAGGGGAGGAAAGGAGAAATCGTTGCATTTCCTAAAGGTCCAAGTTTGCAGGTGTGGATCAAAGCCGAGCCTGCAGCGGTCCTTCACAGGGTTGGGTCGGCGACAGCAGAATCAGCAATGCGGTGCAGTCCGTGCAAAACCCCGCTGGACTGTGATGCACTCAAGTGGAGAGGAGGGAGAGTCAAACGGAGGGAAGGAGGAGGAGGAGGAGGCTCGGCTTTTCCTCCTCCTGCGACCGATTCCTCTCCTCTTTCGCTTCCTGCTCGGGTTGGACCGTGCGCTGGAGGAAAACGGACTCCCCTGGCGGCTAACCCCGATCTGTCATCTCTCATCCATCACGGAGCATCCAGCAGCCCTGAAGCGGAGTACGGCTGCAACCTCCCCCTCCACCCTCCGCCCCTCCGGCAGAAAAGCCTGCCACGCCCGAGAAGACGCGCTAATAAGCATATCGCAGTTGTTCAGTCATTTTTACGCACAGGCGGCGCTGTGACTTCTGATCCAGGTTTAGATTTATTTAAAAGCAATTATCGGACACACCGAAAGGGTTTGATGTTTTCATCATTTTACACAGCCTGCACCTCACACCCAAGACGCTTTCCAACTTTATAAAGCTGCCTTTTCCTTGTTGCTGCACACATCTCACCTCAGTCCAGGGCACCAAATCCTCAACAATCATGTACTGGAGCAAGATCTTTACTGAAAGTGATCTTTATTTGTTGTCTGGGCTCGTCCTAGCAGGGAGATATGATTATTGATTGTGTGCTGAGCCCTAATAACAGCATCACTCTGAAAGCATCCAATATTTATCTACATGCTGACAAAAGGAGACGCTGAACTTTAACTAATGCGACTTTTCAATTAAGATGAACGATATTAGTTTAGTGCTGATTCAGTTATGCTTAATTGTTTTAGAACATGGCTGTTTATGTTTATAATGCAAACAAGTATCCTTTATCATTTGTAAATATTTTCAAAAGTATAAATTCAAAGGTTTTGTTTGTAATTATTAGAAATAAAACAGAACCTAAATTTGCTCCAAATCAAGCAAAGATGCTGATTTCACTGTTGTCGTTTTTGCAAACAATTCCACACATCTTGTCTTTTAAAACGTTCAAAGGAAATTGAACAGACAACCGCTGTGGCTGTATGATGCACACAGAAGGAGAACTTGGACACTGTGGTCCAATTAGGGAGCTGCTGTTGCATGAACACTAAACTCTGACAACAACACCACATTGTGTGTGTTCTGCAAATAGCTTCATTCTGAGCATCACACACATTAAATATATATGATCTGTTTTATAAACACACATTACACACATGGTTGATACTTGACGAGTACACAACTTATACATTTTCTGCAAGGAAAAACTTAACTGTGTGTGTGTGTGTGTGTGTGCGTGCGTGCGTGCACACGGGTGTGTGTGTGTGTGTGTGTGTGTGTGTGTGATGGGTTTATGGAGTGCTGGCAAATAATTTAAACCCTTCAACCTGTCGGGTCAACCACTTGGCAGAACATATTTTAGATAAATAAATAAACAAACAAACAAATAAATAAAATTCTGAACAATAGTAAAGCTTGACTAAAAAGTTTAACTCGTGTTTTTCTTTCCCTACATTAATAAAAAAAAGGGAAAAAAGGAGAAATGCAAAAAAAAAGATTTAAAAAATCATTTTCTTTTTGGCGTGTACACCTAAGTGTAATATTTAGTTGGAATAAAATGATGTGTATGACTTAAAGGGTTTTATTGATGACAGAAAAAGCAGCAGCCAAGAGAAGCAATTAGCCAGCTACGGTCGAAGCCACTAGAAAAAGTTATCCAGTGAACTAGAACAGTGGTATCCTTGAGGAAGCTCCTTGTCTGCATCCAAGACAAGAACACCCCCCCCCCCCCCCACACACACACACATTAAAGGTGATTCATTACAAACTCATACCGATGTACAGAGTTATAACTCTCGTACAGAGCTCTGATTGTAGTACTGTGTGTGTTATTGGGATCTCACGAATGGAATTTTTACAAAAACTATCTTGGTAACTGAACTTCACCACCTCAGCGCGGATAAAACTGTGGGAACCCCCTTGGGGGGATATAGGGACCCCAGGGTGACAACTACTTGCTCATGTAATCATATTTAGAGTGTGGCTTCTTTGATTAAACACATCTAAACCCATAGAATAAGTGTTTTATGAGCAGAGTTGGGTCAATAATCCAGCAGACCCTCCAGGCATAATGAAGTGTGCGTATTATGTCAGGAGCACTCGGAGTCCTGTAAATGGACTCACTGCTGGAGGCGCAGACCACAAATTGCAACCTTGTGGGATGAAGGGAATGTGCAACGATGTTCAGACCCGGCATCCTGCAAACGTGAACGCAGAGATTTTATCCACTCACTATTCTCAATCTAGCAATTTTCGGGAATTTTTCTTCCACGAGCAAACATGTCTGCTGTGAGTGATGAAGAGGGCCCTGGTAGACGTTAATTTAGTGACATAATAATAAGTGAGTGGAGCCAATCCCAGTCAGGGAGCTGCACGTGCACATGTGTTGAGTCAGATTTCATCATGAGGGAGGAGCTCAACATATGAGGAGAAATAACTTGATTTGATGATCCTGTCACTTCTGTCTAACCGTTTTAGCTCTAAACACTTCAAAGGAGCAAAACTTATTATTAATGCAATTTCTGTTTAACCACCTCTATCATAAGGTTTACTTTAGATGCTGAAATGTAACCTTCCTCTGCAGGATGCAAGCGCCCAACAAGTTGTGCATTTCCAAAAATTAAGCTTTTAATTTTTACCATATTAATTGTAATGTGTGCAAATCCTGGCACAGCTAATCACACAGTAAATATGCAGCATCTGTGAGACTTCACGCACTACGAGCTTCACACAGCGCTGTGTACGTGACCTTGAATATTACCCACTGCAACTCACAGCAGAGTTTTTATCAGCTGGAAGGGACGGGGCAACACTTCACATGTAATTATCATGTCTATTGTGCACGCGGTCCGCAGAGACGCTGTCTTTTGACGTGTGTGGGTGGAGATAAAGTAAAGAGCTGAACTCATGCATGACAAAACTCTATGGTTTAAACGCAGAGGGACATTAAAAGGGCACACATCATGCGTGTAAACACATGAAATAAAAACTAGGAAGGGGTTAAGTGCACTTGTGCAGTAGCAGGACTTATGGGGACACACACACATGCACGTACGTGCACGTGGAATAGTCTCGAGTTTAGTAGGGCATGAAATCAGCTGGAGGAGGAAGTTAGGGCTATAAAGATTTAATGAGTTTATTGTGTACAGGTTGCAGAATGAATTATACACACACGTACACACACTTTTATACTTGTCACTGTGCCTGAAGATCCCAACTGGGTGTCATTTTTAACTTTCTTTTTGTTTAACATCCAAAACACATTCATTGCTCATGCCACCATTTATGGTTAAGTTTTAAAATCTTTTATTCTTTGTTTTATTTGCATTAGAAGTTGTATCATGAATGTAAGAATGATGAAAAAGGAGCAGATTTTGTCATCTTACTGTGTTTTCTTCATACAAACTTCATTCAAATATGCTAACTGATGGAAGTTTGTTTAATCAATTTTTAAATGTACAATTAGCATAATTTCAGTCTCTCGGTAATAACATTGTACTGTCTTTGACATGGAACGTGCTACTACTGGTTCATCTGTTGAATTAATTATAGAATAAATCAGATAACGACAATAAAGTTTATGTTTTGCTAAATAGAATATCTACTAAGAAATAACAATGTAGCCATAGTAATACTGCGTACATATGGTGTGTGTGTGTGTGTGTGTGTGTGTGTGTGTGTGTGTGTGTGTGTGTGTGTGTGTCTGCTCTGTCTTCTCGATCCCCAGTGGGTCGTGGTGGATGGCTGCTTATAGTGAGCCAGGATCCTCTGGAGGTTTCTTCCTGTTAAAAAGGAGTTTTCCTCTCCACTGTCACTGCATGCTTGCTTAGTATGAGGATTGCTGTAAAGCAACATATTATCACACTCGTAGCGTCGAAAAATGACGCTAGGTGACCAAATGTTTGTTTCCTGTA